GGGGAACAGGCAAGAGGGACGCTGCTGGTGGGACCTCGGGGACAGCGTTGGAGCAGGGCGGCTGCCAGGCCCCAGCCCTTCACCCCGGCGAACCCCAACTGCCAAACAGCCCTGCCATGTCGTTTGTAGGTGGACCAGGATATTTATTACTTTTTTTTCCTGCCTGTTTTACCTTGTTACAGTCTGGTTTTGCCAGGTGGACTGTCATGCTGGTTCAGCCCCTGTGTTGGCATGTGAGCGGCCACAGGCAGGACACAGGGACCGCCACAGAACCACGTCTGAAATGCAAAGAGTAAATTTATTTTTGTTACCTCGCCAGCTAGGGGATCCCCAAAACAGCAGCCAGGCAGGGACACAGCAGGTGGGGACACTGGCCCCGTAGAGCTCCATCCTCACTGGAAGATGGCCGACCCTGCAGGTTTCACCTGTATTTTGGGGATTTGCACAGGCGTAGTTTTCCACTGTGCTTCAATCTTTCCTGTAGCAGGGCAGGAATCTCAGGCGTGTTCAACGAAGCAGCTCAAAGTCTATCACAGGCCTATGATATCAAAACATGGGTGTTCTACTTGTCAAACACACAAAACTAAGCAACAATTAGCATGATACAGGTGTTTTTCCACACCCCAGCTGCAAGTCACTTGAGCACGTTTACCGCTCTCCTTGCCAAGCTGCTGGTATTTCCCCACAGTTGGGATTCCCCCTTTTTTGGCACACTTGCTTTCCTCACTGCTTTTCCCTGCCTGCACCTTCGAGTAAGTGTCACCTCTAGAAAACCAGCATTTAAAGAGGTTTCTGTAGAATCCCTTCCTTTTCTCCTCCTAAGTGCAGCAGAACTGGTCTGGTTGGGCTTTGGGTTCTGCTTATTACTCTCTGCTCACGTGCTGGGGGTAGGTGACATCCAAGAGAGGAGGTGAGTCAGTTCTGAGGAAGCGCTCAGCCCTCAGTTTGCAAAGCCAACCCTACAGCTTTGAGTTGGGAAGCAGCAGTGGTGGCTGCTTTGTGCCTTTGTGTGCCCCAGCTCCGATTTTCCTCGAGGTTTGAGGATGCAGCAGGTTCCACCCCCCTCACCCCAACCCCCCCGCCAGGAACTTACTGCTTGTGGGTCATTTCCAGGCAGGAGCAAGTTGAGGAGCATTAAGTGGGTTCCTCATCTTGCAGATCACAGGAAAAGGCTGGGTTTAGCCCCTCTCCCCCTTGGAAAGGAGCCCAGCACATCCCTATCAGCAGCACCCCAGCACCCTGCTCCCACAGGACCAGCTCTCAGCAGGTGCAAGCGGGGCCCAGCACCACAAGAGCAGGATGGAGTCAGCTCTGCCCCGTCACCACAGAGAGACTTGTCTGTACCTGCTTTGGAGAACCATGGGACTGGATGACCTTTGAGTACAGAATAAAAAACACAACCAAAATTCCTTTGAGTGCCTTTACACACAGCCTGCTTTCTGCCTCCACACAGAGCACAGGCCCACACACTGGGGAAGAGCATGCAGTGAGACAGGGGAAAAAATCCCAAGCTTTTGTGTGGAAAAACATCACCTGATAGCAATAACAGCCCCCATCACAGGGTGCTTCACCTGCTGGGGTGAAGGGAAGCACCCAGCACAGAGCAGTGCTTTACCCAGGGTGTACCCCTTGTTGGGCTGGCTGGGGGGGAACCCTTTTCTTGGCCTTTTAACACCTTAGCACTACAGAGTAGTTAGTCAAGAGCTGGAGAAAACCAAGCTCAGCTGCTTGATGCCTGTTAGAGCAGCAGGATAGAGCTGGTGGGCAGGAGCCCAGGCCAGGAGGGCTCAGCACCACCCATACAGCAGAAGCAGAGCCTGTTGACAGTTGGGGTTGACATTCTATAAGCAGTTTATTAAAGTACAACATACAAAGTTATTCCTTTATACACTTGAACCTGCATCTTTCTCAGGGAGCATTTGGCAGCTGCAGCCCAATGAGCATCTTCTAGGCATTTCTCCCCCCCCACAAGCCTTCTTCGGCCTCACCCCACATTAGCAGCATCTTCTCATCAGGCAGAGTCATTTTGCAAGAGTGTATGAGCATCTTCAGGGCCCTGTGGGTGAGAGAAGTTACTGTGCCCACTTCCAACAAGGGCAGGGGGTGAGGGCTCCTTTCCCCCCCCCTCCCAAGGGGGTCTCTAACTCCTGACACTGCCCAGGACCATCACCAGGTACAACAGGAAAAGCAGTTGTGCTCCAAGGCACAGAGACTAACTCCAGGGACTGTGAAGGCCGCTTGCCTGTTCAGAGGATGCCCAGAACCCTTGGTCATCCATTTCCAGGGTCTGGGTCCCCACTTCAGGGTCTCTTCTGCCCCAGAGGAGGGCCACGTCGCTCCAGCCAAGCCTCTTGATCCTCAGCCACTAGGGAGGAGAACATGGAGGCTGCAGCCATGCCTGGGCCCACACCCATCCCCCTGCTCTGTGCTCCCCTCACACAGGGACCAGGGCCGCTTTGCCCCAGCTTGTTTCCATCCAACCCAGGAGATAGACAGACATCACCCTTACCACCAGCAAGATGATGGGAGCCGTAATGATGCAGAGGCCGCACACAACCATGATGGCCACACCGTACTCAGGAAAGCCTGGTTCGGGCAGGGGGGGCTCCAGGGTGTCCTCTGGAGCAGGGCACAGCAGTTAGCACAGCCCACAGGACAGGACAGGCCACGAGGTGGCAGCCACCCACTCTCCTTCAGGACACAGGAGGCAATATATAGGATGCCGATAACATCCAGCTGACACCCTCCATGTGCTTTCCGGATAACCCTTCCCTCCTACCCTATGCCAGCCGGGTCTGTCTCCAATCCCTCCAGGCTGTGCAGAGGGACAGGGCATGGTTGTTACTAGAATTGTACTTTCAGCTCAACCGTTGCAAGCTGGTCACCTCACCAGCCAAGACCTCTCACCCTCCCTTTGCATAAGGGATATGGATGTAGTTGGTTGTTGATCTACTCTGCTCACACAGCAAGCAGAGAGCCACAAGCTGGCACACCCACACCCCCAAGGGAAGCTTACCTCCCACAGCAAGAGAGTATGGGTCCACCTGGAAGTCTGAACCAGCCAAAGCCTTGTTTGGCCCAACTGAGAGCACAAGTGCTTCCAAAACTTCCAGACTAGTCGGAGCAGGGTGCTGGAAGACCAGGTCCCCATGGCAGATCAAGGAGCCAGGCCTGTGGACAGAATTGGGAAGAGCTCCAGCAGCTGCCAGTCCCACCGTGACCCCAAAGCCACATGCTGGGCTATGGCCATGGGCACAGCCAAACTCCTGGCTGGTTTTGCTCAGAGGGGCCCCAGGAGGATGCCTCTGCACTCAGGGAGGCATTAGTTTTGCATCTGCTCTTTGGGATGGAAGGGGCATCCCTGGGTGTCCAGCAAGTCACTCCTGAGACAGTGGGTAAATGCTTGACCTCAGCTGCCTGCTGCAAAGCCTTCTGTGGCTGAAGACAGTACACCTGACAGCCATGACCTGTTGGTTGATGGTTGTAGGGAGACCTCCCTGGTTCTGCACACCCCTGCCCCTCCCTCTTGCCCTGGCAGACCCTCTGCTCCCACTCACAGGAATCCTCTGATCACCAGTTGCAGGAAGCTCCTCTGGTCCTTCAGGGCTCTTGCCACCTGGAAGAGAGGTTTCGCTTAGCACCCCAGCAGACTTTGGGGGGTGTCACCCAGCCAGACCACCACTTCCACAGCCATGGTGGAGCTGGGAGAGCCACTACGGCAGGGACATAGGGCAGCTGCAGTCCCCTATCACCTCCAGGTTCCTGGCTGCATTGTGGTGGCCTGAACCACCACCAGAGACAAAACCTCCTGCCACTAAAGCATCAGTGCCTGCCTTCAGCCCGTATCAGCCATGGCACTGGAGTTGAGGGGCTGGTTTGGACAACCCCAAAGCAGTCCTCCTTCCTCCAGGGGTCCTTAGCCTCCTTTTCTCAGCACCCTGGGAGGACCCTGGCCCCCTCCCACCAGCCATGCCTACCGCATCACCAAGGTCTCTGGTGAGCTCCTGGTACTCTATAGCAAGTGGATCCAGAAGGTTCTCGCTGAAATGTCTGTTGATGATGAGGAAGGAGACTGGGTAAACCTGCAGGTCACGCTTGGCTCCTGAAAAGGCGAGACATGAGTGCTAGGTGAGGAGAGCTGGCAGCAGGCCCTACCACACACAGGGACTGTCCTTACCATCCACTGAGAGGGAGGTCAGTTCCACAGAGAGGGTGGAGAGCGTTGTCAAGGCCTGCAGAACCTCTGCAACATCAGCATGAACAATCGTATCAAGGTAGATGTCTGCAGTGATCTCCAGGTGCCCACTGAGGTTTCTAAGGGGAAGAGAAGGGCTCTAAGCAAGGCAGAAGGGCTGGGACCAGGCTCACCAAGCACACCCTTGCTGGCTTTTTTTCAGCAACACATGACTACTCAGCCCAGGGAAGGTGCTCAGTTACAGTATTTGCCACCAGCTGCACAGTTTTCCCACTGCAGCACAACCAGTCCTCTCCATCTTCACAGCATTGGAAATTAGCTGCTGAGTACACGAGAGGTAGCAAAGGTAAGACAAGGAAGAGCTTTGGAGAGGGGTAACTGTGTCCCATACTTGAGCTGCGTGATAGTGAAGTTCCTCACATTGTAGAGGGCACCAAGAGATGAAGTCACCTAGAGGAAGGGGAGACAATAGCTCACACCCTGCCCCTGATTTAGGGCATGTTATCACACCATTTTCCCAGCATCATCATTTGGAAGGGCCACCAAGGCTTGCCTTACCTCACTCCTCAGCCTCTCCAGGGGGTCTGTCCTGCTCCTCCCAGGCTGGAGGACAGAAAGAGAGATGGACAGCTTCTCTGGGTCCAGGTTCTCCAGGCTGAAGCCTAAAAGAGTTCAGAAGACAGTTATGCCCATACCTGTTCCTCCACTTTCCTTGGGAGATACCAGCCAGCCTTGAGCTCCTCCTCTGCCACATGCTGAGAGCAGAAGCCAGCAGGGCAGCTGAGTGAAGATTAATACCTTTTGTGGTGGGAAGGGCTTGGGATCTACCACCTCCCAGGGCAGGAGAAGCAGGCCAAGGAGGGGAAGCCAGAGCTTTTAGCAGAAGCACTGGACCACACAGGTTCAGCTGCTGCAGATGTGGTCTCCAGCATTCTTAACACTAAAGGGTTTTGCATGGGTCAGGAGAAGGGATGTTAAGTGAAGGTGAAGCCTGAAGTCCAAACTGGGCAGGTTTTGGCTTTGATAAAGGTACAGTGAGGACACTCAACAGCAGTAGCTCTGCTGTGGGAAGATCTCCATGGCTTACCACTGGACTGGACAGATTGTGTCTCCAGTTGCCAGCTGAAGATGCTCTTTCCCCTGCTCGCTTCTGTGATGACTGTCCGGATGAGGTGGGAGTTGGTAGGAGCAGGAGTATCCCCCCGGAACAGAGCCTCCCCTCGTACAACCACCGAGCCATTCCTGGGAGGGAGATGAGATGATGTGCAGCCCACCTCCCCTTTGGGAGCAGCTTTAGAGCCCAGCCCACCTCCCCTTTGGGAGCAGCTTTAGAGCCCCATCATCCTCACATTAACACCCCATCCAAAGAGGTCTCAGGTCACTTTATCTGCAGCTTCAGACACTTTCTACCAGGGATCCCTTGGGACAATGACACTGGGGAGGGAGCATAGCCTCTCACAAGACTCATCTGGAGCATTTTGCTGGGCAAACCCTTCCCTCCAAGCCAAACCCACCCTCTCCATCTGTTGCCCCGGGGCAGAGCTGCATACTCACATGAACTCAAGGACATTTGCCTGCAGGAAGGTCTCATAGGTGGACAGCATTTGGTTCAGCTGGAAGTAAGAAGCACCTGTTAACAGAGAAGCTTTTACAAGCCCCTCCATGTGAAGGGGACATGTACCAGGAGGTGTGCAATAAATAGAGGGAAGCCAGCTCAGTTTGCCCAGGGTGGGACATGCCGTTACCCCAGGGTATGCCAGGCCTCTGGGGATAGTCATGGCTGAGCTGGCATACCCAGGGCTCCCATCAGCCTAGAACCAGCACCCCAGAGGGAATACCCCAGCACCACCACAGTGTGCAATGGCCCTGTTAGCTGCCAGAGGTGAGGCGAGTCCAGTCCCACCTCAAACCAAACATCCCACTCCAGCTCCTGTGGAGCAGTACCAGGGATTTACTTGTCTCCACCATGCCTAGGTGGGTGATAGACCAAGTCAGGGCTGACGCAGCCTGCAGGCTCCTCACCCCAGCAGGGCTTGCTGTGGTTGATGCACTAGCTTCTCAGCCGCACCCAGAAGTACCAATGTCTCCACCAACCAGCTCCTGCACTCACCATCAGCCTCACTTCTTCCTCCAGCTCCCTGTAGCTCTTCGAATCCCTGCTGCTCAGAGCCTCGGTGTAAGCGATGCCCAACAGCCGGAACTGCAAGGGCAGCACATGTGCGGGCAGAGGCTGTGCAAGAGAGGGGAGCCCCGGGTGGTGGGATGCAGGGGGCTTCGCCCCTGGGGAGCCAGGTTTGCCCATCGTCATCAGCTCAGCTGGGGTGAAGGCCTCTCCCGTAGCTGCAGGGAGACGCTCACTGGCTGTGGAGGGGTGCTGGGAGGTGACAGAGTGACTGAACATGGACTGAGCGTCAAGAGTCACTCCTGCTGGGGCAGCCAGGGTGTGAGAGCTGAGCAGGGAGCTGGCAGCACGCACAGGTCCGGTGGAAGTCAGCAGGTAGGGTGGAGAAGGTGAGCTTGTGGTGCTGGTGTAGTGCACAGCCTCAGTGCAATGCTTTGAAGCAGGGTTCTTGGAGCTGGGAGGAGGAAGCACAGAGCTTGGGCTGTCATGGGTGGGCCCTGGAGGTCCTGCTGGAGCAGCAGTGGGGCCTACCGACACCATCGTGGGCTCGCTGTGCCCAGCTTCTGCCACAGACGCCTGTCCAGGCAGCACACTCATCTCCGCCACCTTCACAGCCTGGCGTTGCCCTGCAGCGGGTCCGTCCTCAGATGCTGTCATGAGGAAGGGATCTGGATGCAGAGATGGCTTCTGGGTAGGTGACCCCAGCGGGGAGCCATGTGTCACACCTGCAGCTCCTGGAGAGGGGGCAGCCACTGTAGCAGCTTCATCCTTACAGGGGGCTTTGGTTGCTCCAGGCTCTGGAATGGCATCAGGGGCTGCTGAGCTCACCCCAGTCACAGTGGGACCTGCAGCACTGGGGACGCTGGTCTGAGCAGGGGAAGGGTGAGCTTCTGTTGATGTCAGCAGAGCCTGCTGTGCAGGGAGGGAAGAGGTGACAGCAGGTCCCCCAGCCTCTGCTGTAGGAAGGAAGGGAGCCAGCACTTGTGGGTGGTTGACATCATGAGCCAATGCAGCGCTGGGAAGTGGTGCCGAGACAGTGGCCAGAAGTCCAGACCCATTTCCTGGGACCTTGGCTGAGACAGTGTCCACCAGCAAAGCGTCTTCACCTTGCGGGAAGGCGCCAGCAGGCCTTGTGTCCCAGAGCATCTGGGGTGTCACAGCAGAGGGGACCCACACAGTGCCAGGATGCGTTTCGGTCAAGCTGGATGTCCTTTCTGCTGGCAGAGCTGAGGGCACCCCTGGAACGGGCACCCAGTGAGCAGCAGTGGTGCGGTCTTCACCTATTCCAAGGTCAGGCAGGCCAGGGCTTGGCCTCACCTCTTCTTTCTGCCCATTGTGGCTCCTCATTGCGGCTCCAGCAACAGAAGCTCCATGCTGGACATCAGGGAAGGCACTGGCTGTAGACTGATCAGATGCAGGCACACTGCTGGGACCCCGTGCTGCTGTCGCAGCTCTGGCCCGAGAAGGCAAATCGCTGGCTGTGACCACAGCAGGAGGCTCCGAGCTTGCAGCCGGGCTGAAATCTGCTCTGCAGGGCATGGTCTGATGGTCAAGGGATGCCCCAAGGACCAGTGTATTGTCACCTCCGGGCTGGTCCGCTGTGTTGTGGCTCTGGGAGGGAGTACCCACCAGTGTCCATGCTGACCCTGCATGTGCCGGGGCATCAGATGGGACGCGAGC